CATGATGGAAAATATCGTTATATTCTTTACAAAGCCTTATTATAGCAGATTTTTCTTCTAAATTTAAATGTTCGCAACGAATTATTTTGGAAATGTCGCATTTACTAAATTGTTCTTTATGTTTTGGTAAGATGTGTTCTAAATTAAAAAGTTCAAAATTTTCTTTATGAAAGTCCGGAAAAGATAAAACTTTTAGAGGTTGTGGGAAATTTAACGTTATATTTTTCTCAGTGTAATTAAAAACTTCTGTTTGCGCAAAACCGTTTTTTGCAGTAGTAAGTGTTTCTGGAAAATAGAGACCTTCAATGACTTGCTCGAGAATAATAACATCATTGTTTTGTGTTACTGGAATTCTTACGTTAACAATTTCGTGTGCATTCACAGTAATACAATATACTTCGTTTTGTGGTTGTCTAAATAAAATTGGTATATTAGTTGTATTATTCCTTAATTGTTTATTAACAAGATCGATAGAAAAATTAAAACGTTTTAGGTCGTTTAATCCTATTATACCGTCAAAGAATTTATGAAAGTCAAAAAGGATAAAAGATAGGTTGGTATTAGCCTTTAATTCTGGGAAAGCCGGAATATCTGCTTTAAATAGAGTTTCCTTTTCACCAGTTCCTGTTTTAATAATAGTTGGGGAATGATATATTTTTTCATAATAAAATTTTTCTGCAATGGAAGGTCGAAGAATCGAGTGAAAACAACCAGTATCAATTAAAAGTTTAATTGCGGGTTCTTTAATCTGGATGTACGGTAAACTATTATTAATTTCGGTATACATTTCTAATGTCATTTCGTTGAGTCGCATTGGCTCGTTATTGTAAAATTTTGAGAGATTCGATTTTCAATTTCAGGGTGTTCGTCAAAATTTTGAGTGTCATTAAAGTATTCAGATTGATTTGAAAATTCAATTTCAGAGTATTCGTCTTGGTGAATATTTTCATTTTGAAATACCGCAGATGTTTCATCTGTTTGTACCGCGTTACTTTCGTCGATTTGGTATAATTCTTGCGAAATAAAATTTCTAGGGCCAGTAGGTTTGAAATGGTTAATTTGATTATTTTGACGTGGTATAGTATAGTTTGTTCTTGTTGACATAGGTTCGGGTTTATTGTTAGGTACCTGACCTGTCGGTTTAAATACGTTTTTAGGTGGGCCAAAAACTTGCCTATTTGTAGGAAAATTTCTTGGAACTTCGCGTGGTTGAGGCATATTAATTGGACCTCTGGGAAAACTATTAGTCTGGGGAGTAAACTGATTTTGATCATGCCTAATTCTAAAATTTTGATTATGGTGATTGTTGTTTTGAAAATAATTTGTAGGGCGAATCGGTTGTACATAATTAAAATTTTGGTTACTAAAGTAATTTGGATTTTGTGAAAATTGTTTAACGGGTTCGATAGAAGTATTAGGTAAAACTTTTGATTGAATTGGAGTTCTGAAGATATTTTGTGTATATTGAAAATTTTCCTCTTCAATAATTTGGGTCATAGCTAATTCTATACAGCTCGGATTTTTAAGTCTTATAATACTTTGTAATTGTCCTGGTAATCCTCTAATAAACGTCCTTAAACAAATTTGATCGTATTGACGTAAATGAATTACTTTGCTTGCATTATCCATAGTATCGGCAGGAAATGCATTAATTTTTTGAGCAAGGATACTTCTTAAAACTTGTAATCTTTTCCCAAAATCTAAAGGATGTTCATTTTTAAACGGGGTGGCCATAAACAAATCCTGTTCTAAACATTCTAGGTTTCGTCTATCGCCAAAACAATTTAACAAAGCTACTTTAATATTGTCCCACGTTACTAACTCCATTCTACAGCCTACTAGAATTTGTGCGCGATCAACAAGTTTCATTCTTATAGTTCTTAACAAATATTGTTTTAAAATTTCGTCGTTTCCTTGACCATATGTATCAAAAAGGAAATCTCCAGCTGATAGAAAACTATTTAAAGTGTTGGAATCACCATTATATGGCAGAATACTATCTATAAACATTTTTAACAAAGTGTAATTTACACCTGAATTCGACGATTGATTAGAATTCATTTTCAAATTGATTTGACTATTCTCTACTTTCTTTTCCACTAAATTTAACGAAGTAAAAAAACGCACTTAAATTGTCGACGTCTTTATCTTCGTTCATAAATTTAATTGATTTTGAAATTTCTTAAAATTGAACTTAAAACTAAGAATCCTTAAAATTATTTCCACCGTCCTAACCAGGGAAGATGAAAGGGGAACAATAGGAATTTTGGGCACTAACCTTGATTTCTCTTAGTCGTCAGCCTATTCTTCCTATTGGAATTTTCCTTGCGTAGCACTGCTTGCGGGGGTGATTTCTTGCCTTCCTTGCCCTCAGTCGAACTCAATCACGTTGGGTTTGTCAGACAGTCTATCACAGGTTCGTTTTGGAGTTTAAGGGTTGAAACCCACGTTTCGCAATCAAATCGTCCCGATGACGTGGCTTTGACCGAAAACTACCCCAAATCCGTCACGACTGCGCCAGTTAAGGTTTTCAAACGAAGGATCTCGTTTTTAAAAAACACTTTTTTATTTTGCAAACAGAACTACGAGGTTTTCTTTAACCTGCTACAAGGAGAACTGGACGCAAAGCACAGAGTTGTTATATATATAAAGTTTTTATGCAAGCGTCGCGTCGCAGATACCGGATATACTGAAGCTAGCATTTCATCAGCATTTTCTATCACATAATTAACACGTTCGGTAAACTTTTTAACTCACTCGTTTATTAAAAACTCGCTTCGCTGGGCTCCGCCCGTGTCAAATAAACTCGTGAGTCAAATGCCGTTTACCGTACTTCTTGAAATTATCATTATTAGGCTCTTATTTGGTTACCTTTTGTTACATTAAATTTTTTTGAGAAAATCATTTTTATTTATAGTGATGTTGCAAAACGCCTTCTATGGTCGATACAAACAATCTAAATAAAATTTGCTTTGGGCATCATTAATAGCTTAAAACGAGCCATTTTTAACAACTCCAAATTTTGTCCTTAAAAAACGATAAAAAAAATTGAGGGCAAAATATGCATATTTACGTTCACTATGAACATTTAAAAATCAAGGGTTGGCGCAAAGCTAGATAACGAAATCTTTGGTCGAGGCTAGGCCGCGTGACGTCAGTAGTCAGAAACAGCAGACGACTGGCTTGCCGGCTGGCTTTACGGTGTTGAGAAGTTTTTCAGAAATCAAATATGTGTTTTCCAAGTGGGCTCAAACAAAATATATTATGAAATTATTACGGCTTTTACCCAGAACTTCTTTCATTGAAAGCATCATATGGTGCACATCACGAGCCAATTTTCGTGTCAAAGTAATTTCGATTTTTAAAAGTCTAAGCAAGTTATACAAAACAAGTGGTTAAAAATCTTTTTTTTTTATTTTGTACTTACCTAACAATTTCACTTGGTAATCCTCGAATAAATCAAAATTAATTTTAATAGAAATTGACTATGTTAAAAAAAATAACAAATTAGAACTAAAAGTTCAGATTTTCACGAAATTATATATTTTCACATGACAATTGTTTCGAGACTACTAACTAACGCCGATATTGTTCAATTTGTAATAATTGTACCAATATCGTTTTCGGAAATTTTTCGACCAACAACGCAGCCAGCTCAAAATCTACACCAACCCTGACGAATTTGGCATGGGTTGCTCTCATCTATAATGTAATTTTCTTTGTTAACGCCAAATGTGTTGTTAATGATAAGTTCTCGGGCATAATTGGGGTTCTCCTCCATACAATTTGAAGCTCAGTCAGCGAGAAATGGCATTTTCTATGGTGATTGACTTTGAGCTCCTGGGTCAGTTGGATCTTGTAAGGGTGTAGGCCTAGATCCCTAAGCAAAATTCGCCAAGGTGAAGTCTGCGAAAAGTTTTGTTCTTGAGCACAGCGATGAATTGACTGGTTCGGATACGTAAATTGGTTGATTGATTACCGAACTATTCGTCTCAAATTTGGTAACCTAAGGTTGAAGAGTTTACTGTGAGAAGCCACCACGTCTACTGTAAAATTAGCACAATGCCGAGCTATGTTTACACTAGCACTCATTTTCGTAATAATTTTTTTATCATTTGAACAAGCTGGTGTAATTTGCCATAGTAATTTGGTAACTGAATAAAAATCTGAATATTTTGCAAATGTCACCAAAACAAAATGGCCGAAACAGGCTGCTAAAATCTACCCGCGCCAATTGAAAAACCAATTACAAAGTATTGGGAGCGATTGAGTGGTAAAGAGTGTTGATAATATGCAATGCTCTTTCGTTCTAGTTTAAGGTAAGCTAATATAATAATAGTAATAATATTCGTCTTCGCGGACTGCGTAATGACCGCCTAATTAAATCTGAGCCACTCTCAGAGGCTTTAGTAGAAAATGTGCACCCCCCCCTTTAGTATCAACGGAGGTAGCATGACTGATATCAGCATAAAAATCTTCAGGTTTTTACTGATTGCAAGATATATTCATCACCATTTTCCATTATAATGGCTGATTTCTGCAAAATTAGTGTATTTAACTCTATTTTCAAAGTGGACAAAATTTCAGATAGTGCCTCTGCTGCTATGTTCTGACAACCACAAACAATCTGCCGTCAATATACCATTATTTCAATAACCGAATCAAAATTAAGTTTACTTTTAGCTAAACTTTTAAGTGCATTTTTTATAACCCGCTTCTTATTTTCAACTTAAGTAGATAAAATTCTGAAAATGTCCAGATTATAAAAATTGTTATGGTTTGCTTAGAGTTGTGAAAATATCCAAATGTGAGTTACGCCATTAAATTTCTCAAAATAATAGCGGACCAATGTTACCAAAGCTAGAAATGCGTGTCTTGGTTCTCAAAATACATTATGGGGACTCATAATTAGACTGCAAGAAAAATCCAAGCAAGTGACATATACATAATTTCCATAACTAAACGTAGACAATAAAAGCAAATAATATTTTCCCAACTAGCGAAAATCATTGAATCAGGTGGCGACATCGTAGGGACTTTCGGAGAACAACACCCCGACGATGTTTTGACCGCAGACGCCAGAAGTCTGACAAATTGCAAATCTCCACCGAACTTGCAGGTATGTAACTCTGTAATAAATTCCATAAGAATTACAGAGAATTTCAGAACAATTTAAAGGAATCATTTAGGAATCATGAATTACACTATTTCCTATGCAGTTCATCCCTAAATTTAACTGTATTGAGAAAAGTATTTTTAAAACTTCCATTATTCAATGTTACTGTTCCGTCCAATCGGAATTGTTTTGTTTTATTTTTCCTCTTTAATTTTTATAATTCGGGAATTTTTATATCGAGCAAATAGAAAGTGCTTTTCATTTTATTAATTGCTACGGTTATATTCTCTGCGTATTTTGGTGACAATCCCACTGGGTATATGGCCAAAAAAAACTCGTATGTCGCTCCGGTGTCGTACTCCGACGTAATCGGGACTAGTACGACTCAGACCAACGTGAGAGCATTTTCCGCGTGCCATAATTAAAATATCGAGCGCCGTCAAGTATTGCGAAATTGTACCGGTCAACAGCCAAAGCTGCATCAAGGTAATCCAAGAAGAAAAGAGATTGTCATTTTTTCGTCTCGTTACATTAATATATTATTATTTGAATCGACGCGTTATTTCTAGTTTCAATCTTACAAAAAATTACAGTCTATTGCTCTTTCTCGTCCAGTTACTATTTATTCAATTATTATAATAATTGAAGGTTTGCTTTAACAAATATGCCTATTGGCTGTATCAGAAAAGAAAATGACAAAGGAAGTGAAAGCAAAAATGTTATTTGTTATTAATCACAAATAAACGATGGTTGTTTTTAACTACTATGACACCATCGAAAACATTGACATATCCATGATTCCCCTCTCGTGTCATTTAAATAAAAGGTTGTTGCAATATAGACGCTTAGGGTCTTCCTCATCTCTGTTTGTCAATCTTTATTCAATTGCGCCTTTTTCTTACCAGGTATTTTTATTTCTTTACTCTCTTTGATTAACTACATTTGGTTTCGTTTTTTTGGCCAAAGCTTCTTGTAGCACCACTCCTTCCTTTTTGTACTAGTAGCCATGTAAAAAGAACTCCCTGCAATATTTACAAGATTCTTATTTGTGCTTAGAGTTGATGAGCTATTTATCAAAGGTATATTTTAGTATCTGCATCATTTTTTTTACTGAAGGTCAAGTACTTCATCATCCCTCTGAAAATATAATTTGAATTTCGTTCTCACGTGGTCGATGCTGTGGTAGCGTCCTTCCACGCTAAGAGTGAATAGCAAAATCATGACTATTAAGTAGAAAAATGTAGGATTTTCTAAAACCATATTTTAATGTATTTTTTGACAACTGGACGATATTAGAACACATTACATCACTGAATTTATAACGTTTTTCAAAAGAAGAAAAAAATAGCGGTGACACTAGTAATCGAATCCAATCCGCTCAGGGCAGCGTTGATGGTCTAGGGAGAGCTCTTTTCAAAAGACTCAAAATTTCATATAATGCGTTCAATCATTTTGAAGTTATAGCCATCGATTTGCAAAAATATTCGGACATTTATCAAAATTTTAAAATTGTGTTTCAGTTCTCTGCAATATAGGATTTCCAACATTTTCTCTAGACATTTTTGGTCATAAGTTTTTTCACCTTGGTGTAGTGCGTAGTCGTAGGGACTTGGGCCCTTTTTAGTTGACCACTAGATACATTATCTCCCTTATTTAAAACAAAATAGAAAAACATACATTCATTTTTGAAATATTATCAAATATCAGGGTCTTCCGGAAAAGCAGTTGAAAAATGTATTTTTTTAAATTGAACCCCCTTCTTGTATTTACGTGGTCCGATATATCGAATGTTCAATTTTTCTCAAGAAATATGATTTTTTGACGGTAAATTCTGTGATATATTTTTTTTACATTTCTTAAAATTAATAAACAAAACGATGCAAGAAAATCGATTTTTTTACAAAGTTTTCTTTTTTAGTCGCCATCTAGCTGCGACTTGAACAGCAGCAGGACCTTGGGAAGGCCTAAACTACGTCCCAGGGACATGTCGTACTCATCGTTCGCGACATTGAGGCGGGACCACATCATAGCAGATTCCATCCCAGGGCCAGAAAGTTGCGTCTAATGCAACTAAATTTCTAAATCGATATGAATACTAAGGACGAGTACTAACTGTGATTTTTTAAAATAACGCGAATGTGTGTTCGGTGTTGGACTTGCATAGCGAACAGATCAGCGTTAATCAGCAGATAATGAGCTATTTCTTTCTCGAAAATAGTTGGGTTATTAAAGGTATTCGAATTTATCGATAAGCCTCGAGGTGACACAGATTTGCTTAGAGTCAAACTTACTGGGCCGAACCGTTGGAGTTCTGATAAACCTTTTTTCAAAGGATTTTTTTAAAACATTAAATGATATTGAGATACTTGGAAACCGTTGTCCCCAAAATTTGGTAAATTTTTATTTAGTTTCTCCAACGAAATATTTAATTCGGATACTAAACTGAACGGCGGGTTAGGTAGGACACCAAAAAAATTGAGTTATAATAAATTCCAGTTTTCTTTGTAGGTGTTAAATTTTCAACGTGAGTTGTAGTAAAGTGTTCTTTGTTTGTGCGCCAATGGTGTCCCTTTTTTTAAATCTCTTGTCCTTATAGAGCGCGGCGAAAAAATTCCGTTTTTTGTCAAATAATTTTTAATTGATTCGGAATGACTAGTTTTTTATTTATTTTTTAAATTCGCCTTTCATATTAAATTTAAAACTAAACTGCATCAAGCAATAACTTGTAAATAAACTGTTAACATCGACAGTGTGCAAAAAGTAGTTTTTGAAGTTTTATATCATATTTTTATTGATTCTTATGTATGTCTTGTTTGTTGTAATGTATGTGTTCGCTACTAAGTTTTAGTCTCAATTTTCACATTCAATTTGACATTCAGAGGTATTCCATAAGAATGAAAACATTTTCTCATTTTTTTTTAATTTTAATACACTTGCAGGAGTAAAAAGATGAAATATACATAATATATTTCCAAGAATATTTTTTTAAATTTGCTATATATATATTAAAAATTAATAAAGAATATGATTCTGGATTTAGTGATTCATCCAACTTCATAAAGAACTTTACAAGATTCCCTGTTTTTTCTAACTTATTCACCAAGAATTGAATTTTTTCGCTGCCTTTCACGCACGGTGTAGTGAAAAAAATGGATACCATTTGCTCATAGAGCAAAGATCACTCGCACGATATCGTCCAAATTAAGCAACTCCTTGGATCTTCCCCTTCAAATGCCTTTCACTTTATTTGATGACACATATTATATCTAGAATAAGAAATAAATACATCTTGAAAAGGGTTTTTCGTTTCGTACTTTCCAAATTAAGGCTCCAAATTTGTTAGAATGCCTGTATTAACAAATCATCCGGGTTTAAGGAAGAATAATCGATCTCGGCATATGTTGTTCTGTCCTGTCCTGGTTTTATCTTGAGTTTTAATAGAGAGCTGCATAGTTGAGTCATAAGCCAATCATAGTACATAGCAAAAGCAAATAGCTGCTCTAGGAAGGCAGGGCAGTTGAAGAAGAAGTACTTAATTGATATTTTTAACTGTGAGTTGAATACCTCTCTTATTGAATATACAAAATTAATTTCTTCCATAATCTGACTCGATTTGACTGAAACATTATAACGTTATAGTTTTCGTATTGTTTTTACTTGTTTGCTAGTGCTATGCGCCTACTTACCGATAAACTGTTTTACACCGTTATTTTCAAGTGTGGCTCTATTATTAGCTGTACTTTTTTTTAATACCCCAATGAAATTTGTTACATAATAGGACAATAATAATTAGATTTTCTAAATAAAATTTAGGATACCAAAAAATGTCACCTGAGCTGTTTATGCTATACCCGCCATGCGGAATATTTACCGAAATAAAACGTTTCTTTAAAATTAAAATTGTCTTCGTTTAATTTGGCTCTAAGTGAACTTGCAAACTAGTTGAGGCAGAATAATAAGATGTAAAAATAAAACTCATCGATTTTCACTATCTGTGGTCAGTGAAATCAAATCAAATTTCTGATTTCTATATGGCAAAACTTGCTGGACCACAGTTTGTTTATGTTTTCGATATGTTTAGATCTGTGTAAATATATTGTGTTTTTGAGTTGATCTTACTTTAATTTCTCCCCGATTTGGGCACCCAATCCTTTAAATAATCAAAATTCTTTCTGTTAATGCCATTAATTTTCCCAGGTCAGAGTCGGAATATTTGGTCTCTCATTCATTCTTATATTGGAGATTACAGTTCCATGGGTTATATATTACTGCTTATATTTTTACATAGAGAGTGAACATAGAAATGGTCCCACCGGATGACTATGGATTCATTCGGGACTCTCATTATCAGTAGCTATGATGATAGGTATGCCGTTTTTTTATGATTTTGTCAAGTGTAAGGCAATTTATGTATACATGACTTCTACAATGTTGATATGGCGAGCGAAAGAAAGTAATTTTTCAAAGAAACTTCCACAACATAATGTAATACTATTTACAACTTGCTGACATTTTGATAATCATCCTGTTGACTTCTTCAGAGCTTAAATGAAACTGGTTTGCATTCTACTCTATATCTGCTTATATACTGGTTGACCGAGGCGGAGCTAAAGGCGGGACAAAAACATTGTCTCCTATATTGATGATTGGTGATTGGTGAGGTTCTCGATATTTGATACCTAGTATAAATACGCCGCATCGCTACCGGGACAGTTTTAACTACGGACAAGCAAACGGTATATTGATTAAGAACTGAAAATCTTTGACCATATAATAACAATTTTGATATGGATTAATCAGGTCCCCACGACAAACGTATTCTTTAAATATAAAAATTTAGCATACTTATAATGAAATATACTTTTTTATTTGGTCGCATAACAAAATGGTATATTTAATATGCAATGTTTCTTTTTACAAAACTTCTGGATTCCTCCTGCTTCGGTTTTGGTTAGTTTCAATCAAGCTCTGAAGAAGCCAACAGAATGATTAGCGAAACGTCCGCAAGTTCGACTCAGCAAAAACCGACGCAGGAGGAATCCAGAAGTTTTGTAAAAAGTATTACAGTAGCCTGTGGAAGTTTCTTTGAAAAATTAAGGCAATGTTTCTATTCCGAAGCAATATAATGTGAAAAGTGACTATGAACCAATAGACCAGAAAGCTATGTTTACAAAACTATTTCATGATTCCGAAACACAACTGAATCTTTGAAATATCTCGAATAAAAGTGAAGACTTGTCTGCATTTTAAAGAATGTCTGGGAAATGTAAAGAAGTTTGGAAAATGTCAGTTGAGTATGTAGAGCAAAATTTTGAAGTGAGGTTTATTTTTGTCAATGTAATGTCCATGTAATTTCCACGGCTGGTTTTATAAGAAACCACTAGTGTTATCTAAAAGTTTTGTAAAAACCCGTATAGCGTTCTTAAACAATTTATTATAAAACTTTCAGTCCTGTAGTAATATTAATAAAAATAATAATAATAATTAGCTTCTGAAAACCCAGAATCTGACAAACTGCAATTAACTTCCTCTCATGATTAATAGAAAAAACAACAAACGAAAAAAAATGGAAAATTGGATAAAATGAATATTTTAAGGCTCCACTGCCATTAATAATACGATTTGTTATTGCATATAACATGCTGAAGGCGAACAAAGAGAAAAAAGGGGACACTAAATCCAAATTGACGGTAAAGGTGCAATGGGAGTTTATACCTATTATAAGAAATCGTTTTAGTTTTAATCTAAGATTTAATTTAATTATTGTAAAGCAGATTATATTCCATTAGTAATTTTTTATATCTGACTGGTCATTGGGAATGTGGAAGAAGTTGGAACCATTCGTTTATATAAACCGATTCACCTAATTTTAAAATTCGATAAACAAACCTATGCATATACAGTTCCCTTAAATTAATTATAATGTATTCCTTAAAAACTATTACAAATCTTAAAGAATCCAATGAATCTGCATGTAAAAAATATTTTAAAATGTATAATTGGTTATATTCTTGAGGTTATGTTTAACAACTATTTTTTAAAGATGTCGAAAGCTAAGCAAAATTTCAAAAAGTTAAATACGCTAATAACCTTTACAGAACATGTGCTAAGTGCACCAAGTGATAATACAAAGAGAAAATACAAAATAAACAGACCAGGATTTAGACTTTCATCAGGACAATGTAATTTTATAGATATATTAAAATATATTTGTGGGACACGACCTATTATCTGGGACTATTTAACTCTGGGCAAAGATTCCGGAGCCAACGTTCTCTCTGTAGTGTACTACAGCCATTTTGAATTAGACCGATTCATATAACACAAAATTATCCTTTTTGTTTATGCATTCGTATTATTTCCAATCAAATTTCGGCAATGGATTTGGACTGATTTTTGGGGTGGATTGGATCGACTTGCTTCTATTTACCATCTCAAACTTATTTGCTATTGGTTTTAAAAGGTTTACTTATACGTAAACAACTAAAAGTGAGGTTAACAATGAATGATTGGCTTTTGACATTTACTAATGGTTTTCCCGTTTCTTTTGGGGATTACGAAAGCTTTAAAAAGATTATATTATTAGGTAACGAATATTTATTAGAGGTTTATAAGAGACATATGTTTTTTCGGTGAACTAACCAGATGGATGTCAGAGAAAAAATCAAAGACAAAAATTTAAGGTAATCGGAAAATATTTTACATGATTTTCTTTTAACCACATTGTTTTTCGTTTTTTAATGCAAGATGGTAATAAAATGCCAATTTGCAATGATAGGGTTCACTAAACAGGGTGGACCACTTAAAGGCTATATCACAAAGTTCAAATAAATTCAAATACGGCAGAGGACATTAAGCTTTGGAGTTCAATAATGATATATAACTCTCTCGCTCAAAGATAATTAATCACAACTCATTAAGACAAAAATTATGATCTGCAAAATGTAATTATTTTCTGTAAAAAAAAAATTTTTTTGGTGGAGGTAGATTTGGAAAACATAGGGAAAATGACGACCAAAGCTAATCAAACAAATTTTCAATATTCTCTTGTTGTCTGGATACCCACTTCGCCATCAAATTTGATGTAGTGCTGAGATTTTATTTTTATTAAAAATAAAATTTTTAAAACGTGGTTAGGTACCATTTTTCCATTTAAAAGAATTGCCTCCATTCAACGCTTAAGTAAAATACTAATCAAAACTAAAGTGTAACGTAAACTATTCAATGATATCTTTATTGGTTTAAAAGATTTAAAAATATGTCCATTTATGGGACCTTACCCGAAAAGAGGAATCGCTATATAACTTCCGATGCGGCTCTTCTCCAGGAAACTGAACACCACAGGGACGTAGGAAATCGACGAACTGAAGAAGAAACGACACCAATCTAGAATATGTTTGTGATAAATTGTAGAATTATTAAATCGACACCTTGTACATTGTAACCGGGCGTCGCCACGTTTTGACACAATTGGCGACTAAATTGTAAGTATTGTGTGTATTCACGTGTATTTGTATATTTGAGAAATTAACAGGTAAATAAAAAAACTGTCTTAAAACTTGTAATTTAATTGTAGCACATCAAAATATATGCAAAAACCTATTCTCAGCAGCAAGCGGATGGAAAACTTACTTGTACTTGTGCGTCTGGTCCAAAATGACGCCGAAAATTACACAAGCGACACAACCCCCCAAAATGATGGCCAAGAAGACTATGAGTCCGACGTCGTTCTCTGCTCCCTTAAAAAAAAATTAAAAAATCACCGTCCGTCCGAAAATATCAATATTTTCAAAAAATTTATAAGCAATGTTTGTCCCACTTATCGGACATTTCAGGAAATGTTTTCCTCATTTATCAGACAATTTACCGGCCACTCGGCTTATTGCTAGATACATAATATTTCTTTAAAAATCGTAGGCAACTGCCGTTTCGTACAAACAGAAATATTTTTTTTAATTTCAATTCAATTTTGATGCATGTTAAACATTGAATAAGTAAAGTTTCGTCAGATCGAAAATATCAACTAGGCTCAAAGAACACAAAACCGCCTTACGACTAAGACAAATAAACTCATCAGCTGTTGCCGAACAGACTCATGAAGCCGGACATACAATTTTATTCGAATAAACTAAAATTCTTGCATGTAATCAGCTCTTCTACCAACGAAAAATCCGAGAGTCTATAAAAATCTATAAACAACCTAACAATTTTAACTGCGACTCAGGTCTCTACCTGTCACCAATTTGGGAATCAGTCATCCGCGACGGTGTTTATACCCCTCATTAGTGCCCACCTCAAGCAATATATAAGCAGGTACAGAGTAAAATATGAGCCAGTTTCAGTCAAGCTCTGAAGAAACCAACAGGATGATTGGCGAAACGTCAGCAAGTTCGACTCAGCAAAAACTGACGCAGGAGGAATCCAGAAGTTTTGTAAAAATTATTAAAGTTTCAAATTATTTCTGAGAAGTTTTTATTACTAAAAAATAAAGACAATTCATTCAATTCCGTAAAACTTAATATTAAAAATTCAAGATTTGGGAGAGATAGCAATCAATGCCACCCAAAGTGGCTACTGTGACTTTCTCCGTAACTATGGATCCCTATCTACGTTCGTCCTTGCTCGTAGTTCGTTACTATAACTATCTATAATTTTAATGATTTTGAAAATTATTTGGATCACATTCCTAAAAGTAACTCTTCTTCTTCAATTTAAGTATTAGCATATTTTTAAACGAGGTCTATTTATAAATTTTTGTATTTAATCTGAGTTCATTCTGATTATATGGTCTACCTATACAGCTATTAGATTATATAGTGGCCTTACAACGGCGAAAATTGATGCGCCGCAAGCAGTATTGACATTTTCAGCGCATGCCTCTATATTTTACACACATTTCTTTCTAAGCAGCGATTTCCACACACTTAACTAATTTTAACAAAACATTTAACGAGGTTTAGGCATCTAAGAAAATGCTGGCTTAAAAATACCGCATCCCGACTTATTGTTGTAGGTTGTTGAACGCCGCAATTTCATTTTTTTTTTCAAAATTGCTTCATAAATATTGTATTATCGCCATAGG